AACGGCAAGACTGGGATTGCGTAATCATACATGTCTGGTTGGGTTGAGGAGCATATTGGACGAGTGTGAGTGAAGTTAGAACCATCACCAAGCCGACAAAATGATTCGCCTTCTTTTCGACGGCGGCTCAACACCCTTTCTTCTTCCAATGATGTACGAAAGCTCAGCCAGTTTTCACCCGAAACAAAGGAGAAAATCTCGTGAACTGCGTCAGCATGAACATCGTATAAAAGCTAAACGGTTGCAGTACAATGGGATTCATCCGTCCTCTTCTGGTGAGATCGACCTACGAATCTCTTCTTCATGCATTTTCATACGAAATGAAACTCTCCTCAACAATGTTATCTCAGGAGATTCATCGAAATCCAGTTTCTATTCGCATTTATAATATTGGTTCGGCTTTGTTTTCGCAACTTGATCGAAGCATCAGGAAGACCTTGTGGAAAGTACCTATTCCTATGTCCTCTGTCATAATATTCGTGATTTCCAGCATAGGACCATTGACTTTACACCTTCACAAACGTTTCGCCGGCATCGTCAGGGAAAGGCACCATCGTAAGCACAGAGTTACGATTTTTCAAAATTGCAAGGTTTATCTATGGAATCGCGTTTAGTCCCAATTTTACCTAAAAACTACATGGCTTATTTGAAGGTTTATTTCTAGTTAGAGGTATGGACGTCTACTTTGCTGATTTGTAACATGTCAGAGAAGAATTTCTTGAGCTAATGTATAGAGTAGATGGTATAACTAAATTTACTATGAAGTTAGAAAATACCTATAAATTTTCATTTATGGATGTCCTCGACATGTGTCTAAGCGACCTACATACCTTGGTTTATTTTTCAACCTCTTTTATAATCCTGACTATCTGGTCAGAATTGTGGTTATAAAATCGATGAGGATAAGGAGTTTACGTCTAGCGGACGTAAGCCACCGGGAGCTGGAAATAGGAAGATTAAAGAATACTTTAGTCGGATAAAATTATCCACTAGGATTAATTAAGTGAATATGATCGCGACTAATTAATATGCCCTTTCTACAAATCTTTCTTTATAAATAAATATCCGGTCGCACTAGCTTGAAATGATCTTGCTAATAAATCCTGAGACGGACATAGCTTATGCCATATGAGGAAGCCTACTTATAAATTCAAAATAATTTGTGCTTTTAAGTTTGAACACTTTTACTAATTATGATAGTGGTCGGCATAGATACGTGCTACTATTACTCAATCTTCGTGAGTCTAATTTTTTCATTATATTCTTCTTATGGCATGTTCTCAAAAAGGGAGCTAGTCTGGAAGTATTTTTCATTTTCCTTTTTATTCTTCATATACAAGGCTGTTGCATGTGCTGAGGCTAATGTGACCTTGATATCGCCATTCGTTGGCCGTATTTACGACTGGCATCTGGCGCTAGCGAAATCTCGCTCCGAGCCTGTACCCAATTATGACCAAGTCTCTGATCCAGGCGTACGCCGAGTCACAGAAATATACAACTATTACAAAAAATTCAACTATAAAACCCAAGTGAGTATCTTTTCTATTCATATTATTCATGTTTTCTATAGAAAGATATTCTTACAAATTGACACAAAACAATAAGTTTGCAAAAATGGATTTATTGAATCTTCCTTCTCGTATTTGCTTTTTTTGGATAATCTCTGTTAATGCATCGTCGATTTCCAACTTCGACGCGCCAGAAAGATGTTTTCATGCTATAAGTTGAAACAAAGCCAATTATCATCCAATTTTTTTTTACTCTGTAGTGACCTATCGATACACTTTTCCCATGCAATGTTTAATTTTGTTAGATCCCATGCATAGCTAAGGCCCGAAAGCCCTGGACACAGAGATCACGTAAGAGTACACTAATCTTCATTCCTTATTTCGCTTCGACCAATCAAATCTTAGCACTGCATCATCCAGTCAGAAATTGACATGGAAAACTTCGCCAGGGTACGTCAAGTAGCTAACAGACTGTTTAGGTTGGTCACGTTTTCTTCCTTCTCTTTCTCCCCTCCGCCGTAACCCTCGGAGTTTAGACTATTCTATTTCGTGCCGCCTTTCAATCATTTCTTTCTAGTGTCAGCCCATGATGGTTTGATAAGTGGGTGCAGTTCAGATCACAGAATATGAGTACCAGCATCAATGTGGCTGAAATTTCCGACCTTTTTCGCCTTCCGCTAAGACTTTTATTACGCATTAGTTTTAGTACCTGGGAGTCCTTTGTATCCGATTCGTACCTGTAATTCAAATTCATTTATTTATAGATATTTTAGTAATTACGTGCCTTATTCCCTTCTAGGTAATGGGCGCCTCGTTCAGAAATACAGACCAGATACTTGGACTGTCTGGCTGTGATCTGTTGACTATTTCTCCGGGTCTTCTCGACCAATTATCTGGCCTCACGGAGAAACCTTCTGTGATTTTGTCTCCGAAAATGGGTAAAGCCGCCTTATTATTTATATTTTTGGCATTTATCTTATGATTTTTTATATTCTTTTCTGTCTATACCAGAAGCAGCGCAGCGTATTTCACCTTCCTGAAGATGATAGCACTTCTTCCATGTAAACTAATGATATTCTCAAGGGGATATCTTAATTTTAACTGAAGACTAAGCAGAAATGCCTATAGGCATGCATTTATAGATTACAGATCCTGCTGAGTTTTAGCGGAAAACGCAGTCCAATTGGGACAGGAAAACTTTCGTAAACCGATTTATGGTGAATTTCATATTTTAAACTATCTTTAACGGCAGTTTTAATGGTTCCTATATTATCTCCTGATCCTCCGCCATTAGCTTTTGGTATACATTTTCATTTTTAAACC